CTGCTGAACATTTGCCCAAATGTTTTATTAGTTTCAAAGTCCCCTTTGTTTTGCAGAACATACTTTACTATACTGTAGACTCATTATATAGCCCCCTAAAAAGGAAGAATGACGGCCCTACATCTGGCCAGATGTAAATCGGGTTCTTAAATGTTTCATGGCAGATGTCATTGGTACCGTTTGCAAGTCTAGTGTACAAAGTGCATGTCTGTAATTCTATAATCCAAACCACAGAGTGTTACCCTTTATCTCTTGTCTTACTCTTCTTCTATGAATATGCTCCTACCTTCTAGCACTTCATAGAGAGGCTTTATATTTGAATGGGAGAGATGGGGGTCACTTCCTTATTTATCTAAATGTCTTTAATTTTCACCTACCAAAAGAATTTAATTGTTAGAGATTAACCTACCTGAATCAACTCATACTGTTATAATCACATACCAAAATTCCTCTGAAAGTTATCTTTATATCTTCTAAAAATAGATTGTCCATTAGGTAGTATTGCTACCATGAAAGGATTCATGTGATAAATTTATCTCATTCAGTCCCAAGACAAAAGTTACTGTCTCTAAAAGAGTATGCATGGATCCAAAAATAACAGTTTTTTTTTTTACTTTAATTTCCAGGAAGCTCAGATTTATATTTAGTTCATAATTATTATAATTCTATCAATTTTCCTTTCCTTCTAATTGTCTTGTGATCCAATTTTTACATTTTAATTCTCCTGCTTTTTACATTTTGAACAATAAATGATCCTGAAGTACTTTTTTCTAGAGGTAGCATAGTTATGACTTTTAAGTGAACAACCATGGTAATAATACTTTAAAAAAGAGCATTTTGAAATTTCTGTTTAAGTTCAAATTATGTATTTATTAGAAACATATGAATTGCAACTTCACTGGAAACAAAAAAAATATGAAAACATTTACACCAAGAACAGCACGGTTCCAAAGAAATTGAATGCAGGCCACAAATTCAAGTCATGTGTAATTTTAAATGTTCTAGAAATGACGTTTAAATAGGAAAAAGAGGTAAATAAATGAATTTCAATAATGCATTTTATTTAACCTGATATATCAAAAATAGCATTTCAAGATTTAATCATTATTTTAAACTATGAGTTTGTATTTTCATACTAAGTCTTCAAAATTCAGTGTATGTTTTCCAATGACAGCACATCTAAATTTCGACTAAGCACTTTTTAGGTGCTCAGTAGCTACGTGTGATGAGAGACTACTACATTGGACAGCACGGCAGAGTGTCCTTGTGATTTTTATCAACTAAATCAGAGTAGTCTTGAGAGTGAAAGGGGGTGCTGTTAACAATTATGCCCGGACAACAAGAGTAAAGCAGAGCAAACAGTCTCCCTAATTAAAATGATGGTAATTGCCTATTCAGTCAAGAGAAGTGATAAGACTGTACAAAACTTAGATAATTATAGACACAAATATGTGAGTGTATATACATAAATATTACATAGATTACATATATATGTAATCTATATAAAATTAATATATAAACATTTGTAATTTAATGTAGTATGTATATATGCAGACATATTTAGCTATATATACAATTTATATTCTACACAAATGAATTTAAAGAAAATTGTTCATTGAATGAGCTTAGAATTTGAAGTAAAGGTGCACAATTTTGACATGAGCAGGGTAGAGAAACATCCATGTTTGATTTATGAAAAAGATATAAGGTCATTCATAGTATTTTCAGCTGTATATATTTATGCCCATTAATGTTCTAAATGATGTCATTTTGAAATTTAAAAATCATTGTAAATGATGATATCTATTGAATGAAGAGTCAAGGTATTCTTAAATTGATCACCTGTGCTGGAGGCTTGCTTCAACCGTCATGGATGTTTCTTACCAATATTTTGATAAGGGCATTAAGCTAAGTTTGCATCACTGCCTTTTAATACTTTTCTTTGCAAAAATGTAATGTATGCAAAGTAAAAACGTTATTTATTTTAATACTCTAAATTATGGTACAGGATGAAGTCAACCGGCTGTCAGTTCTTCAGCCTCAAATTGAGCGATTAAAAATTCAAAGCATAACCCTGAAAGAGAAAGGACAAGGGCCAATGTTCCTGGATGCAGACTTTGTGGCCTTTACAAATCATTTTAACCAAGTCTTTGCTGATATGCAGGCCAGAGAGAAAGAGCTGCAGACACGTAAGTAAAAATATTTAAAATGACTAACTTGATGTTTTCCAAATTAGTTATTTATTGTGAAAAGAGAAAGTACTAACATGAAAGAATGATTTCCATCAAAGAAACCATACTCTCTACAACCTGTATTAACAACTAGTGGAATGTTGTTTTTGGAAAACAAATCTGTTAGATTTCCATTTCTTGCTCCCTCCATAATAATGTCATGACTATGAAGAACAAATAAAGTATATGTTGTGGATAGGCGTAACTTCTCCTTGGCGGGTTGCAAATTTTACAGTCAAATGTTTGGAACATTGAAGGAAATAAAAGAGCAGTGGAAGCCCTGTTAGTAGCTTTTCATCAAATCCAGTTTGCTTCATGTGCAAGGATATCTAGCTAGGCATCTTGCTAATACTTCTGTCAATTTATATGAAGATTATTATAGCTGTAGCATACATGTGGCAACTGAAACTCAGCCAAGGACAAATTATTCTTTGGGCTACATTTTACTCTTGGATCACTATAACTATACAATATCTTTTTTTTCTCATTTACTGGTAAAATACAACATATGAGTGGAGCAATTATGCAAATGCCTACCATATGATGAGCAGATTTTTCAGGATGTCAATTTTGTCTCTCACCAGTTTGCTCTTATGATATTAGTACACAGTCCAAATATCCCTACTCATCAGACAAAAATTCCTTTGACAAGCAGGTTTATGAACATTTTTAAGCATTAGAGAATGGGTCTTTGGTTCACCATACACATATATACATATGTATATATATGTACACACAAAGGATTATAGAGTAAAACTAGATTTTTAAGGCATTAAGATAAAAATATTTTTAAAAAAGTCATCCTCAAAGTTGTCATGAGAATCACAAGAACATATATTTGTTTTCTACTGAAACTTTAATTTGTTGGAACACACATTTTTAACTGCTTTCCTTTGCAAGTGTGCAAAAAATTTACCACATAATAACATTGTTAGAATCAGCATAGTGTAATACATGGGCTTTCCTCACTTTCCTATTTTTTTTCCTTTTTATTTCCTGGTGAGGTCATGTAATGAAAGATAAATGCATTTTTTTTCCCTTTCTTTTACTTCAAAGTCATTTTTACTGAGGGGTTTATTTTCCTGATAGGGAATCAGGTAATACAACTTTACAGTAACGTCAGCTCCCTCTAGTGGCTGTCAGTGTACTTGTTGCTGGGCCTCTGTAAAATCAATTGGGGAAAAGACTGTAAATGTCCTAAATTTTCAAACGTTGACCTATTTAAGAATAATGCATTTTTCTTATCATAAAATCCATAAACCTCCCTTAAAGTCAAGTACATGTTAATGGTTATACTGTAACTGGTTGGCAGAGGAGCTTATTCACTGAAAATTTTTTAATTTACATAGACTTACTCATTATATTAAGGTTTAACATTTATTTCTGTTCCTTTTCAAGGTGTTCAGAATGTTGATGTGTGATGATAACAGATTTGATTATGACACCATAATATAAATATATATTAATATATAACCTCTGTTCATATAGCTATCAGTATACCCATCTATATTAGCATGTCTTCTCTTTATCTTGCATATATATGATGATTGTTTATAAAAGTGCCAAATATTTTCATTTCATTTATGTCTAAATAAATGTACTCCTTTCCACTATATTAACCAAATATCTCTAACACTTTGATTCACTCTTTTGGAAAACTTGTTTTGATTCATTAATAATCATTAATTAAATATGGATTATATATATGAATTATAAATTATGCAATTTATATTTGTATATATAATTTATATGCATTATGTGTATTAAATATTATATATAAATTGTGTATATATAATTTATACATTGCATATATTATGTATTATATGTATAAATTATATATAATTTTATGTAATATGTATTTATATATAATTTATGTATATGTATTATGTACATATATAAAAATGGTGAATAAAAGTTCACCACATTAGGTCATATTTCAGTTCAGTTTGTTAATTAATAATTATTTTCAAGGAATTTTCCATATGTGTGTTTTCCCCCAAACTTACACTGGGGAGTAAATCTCATTTCTTGTATTACTACATGGTGCTTTGAACATATTAAGTATTCAGCAAGTAAGAGCTACCATCTTGGGAATCCATCTTGACTTTCATTCCCTCTTTCCTTTTCTTCTTTACTAGTGTTCTCACAATGAAACAAAAACTTGACATCTTAAGTGTACTTTAAATGGTGAAAACTGGTGTGAGGAATTGGTGGTTGGTATTTGGCAAAGATGATATGAGAAAATAATATTAAAAGTTAAATATATTCTATATTCATAGTAAGTTTTAGTCTACAAATGACAGTCTTACAAATTATCTTTCTTAGTCCTCAGACAGGACACAGAAGCTGAAAGATGAACAGGAATTAGTGAGATTAAGGGTATAGTAGGTGCTGGCTAGCTAAGAATCTGAGAAGTTCTGTGTCCCTGGAGCACAGAGAGGAGAGAGTGATGCAAGGTGAGCCTAGAGAGGCATACAGTCTCAAAGGGCCTTTTATGAGCCACGGTGAGGGTTCTAGACACTAACATGAGAAAAATGAAACAATACTGATTGGGTTTTATGCTGTGATATAACATCATAAATCAGTTTTGCATTTTCAGAAACTGAGCGGTGAGGATAGATTGAAAGGAAGCAAAAGTACACGTGGAGAGACTAGGAAGGATCTTCCCTTGTGTGGGTTTTTGCTTGAGCTAAATAACTTACCTGTGAGATACTAACAAAGGCATTTGATCTTTTCACAAGTTGTTCTGTCTTCTCAGAATAGAGTGGAAGTTTGGTTTAGCTCTCAACGAGGGAACTTTACGTCTTGCATCCGAATACTGATCCGAAGCAGTTATACAGAAAAATATCAACAGTTCAGAAACTGAAATATTTCCCTTCTCATTAAACTGAGAGACCAGAAGGAAGCTAAAGAAGGGAGAAGACAATCAGGGCCTCCCTTAGAAATGAAGTGGACTTGAGGGTGAGATTAGAGCCCAATGGGTAACTATTCCCACAGCTATTCAGATGTATTTCCTGATTGATGAACCCACACATGGGTAGTGAGATAGCTAGTTCAGAAACTATGGACTTGCTAGGTCCTGTTTCAGTTCTAGCTCCTCCCCAAAGCAATCCACCTGTGAAACACCCAGAGAGTTTACTTAGGATCCAGATTTCAAGGAAAAAAATGTGCCCAAACATCCCGAATCAGAATACAGCATAAGATGTTCCATCTATACAATATGGTAAATAGTGCCCACGTGCAGTGGTGGTCTGGATTCTTCAGTACTTTATCAGGGTTTTGAAGAGAACCTGAGACTTTACATAATGTAAGTTATTCATTGAATAATGCAAATTAATGCGTACTTTGTTGACATTTTGTTTAACACAAAGAAAAATAATGTATCAAATTGTGATTATTTCTTAAGATCTAGCTAGAGTTGTATTGGTTAATAGAAGGAAGATCAATCAAATTTATTATTTAATAATTTAGAATGTTTCAGTGGTCATCTTCTTTCTGGATTTGAGAGATTTTTGTTTTATGCTGGCCTGTGCTGAAACACAATGGATTCTTTGAATGTATGGCATTTTATTTCTGTCAGTCTGTCTATCTGTCTATCTCCTTTCCTCCCTCCCTCCTTTGATCTATTCCATAGGTGGATGCTGACTGAGTTTTGGACCATCTATAATATTATAACATATACTTATGAGTTAAGTAACTGCTTTACACTTGTACAGTGCTCATGCTACCTTATCACTTTGGTGATAAGCTGACAAGTCAGAAAATCTTTGTTTCCTCTCATTTAATGTAGGTACAATTAGAACTACAAATACAGTCTTTCCCCAGGATGCTACAAATGCCAAGATTATCCTCAGCACAGTCTAAACACTCTTCCAAATACATGGTTAAATATGCTGTGCAATATAATAAACTATGCCTTGTATATGTGTTTTTAAATGACCATTAAGTATTAACCAGTACTGAAACAACAGTATTTAAGTAAACCTGAAGTTAAACAAATAAAACACTTTGATCCTTTTTGTTACCATTTCCCTTGATCTTTATCTATTATTATTATTTAAATTTGGTCTGATCATGATTCTCTTTGCAGGATGAAGTGGACACTAACTTTTTAAATTCACTCTGTGTGTGTTAGGATATTCATAGGCATGCATTGTATGTCTTCATGTGTGGACATGTGTGTGTGTGTATGTGTGTGTGTTTGTAAATCATTTCAGAGCAATGTCTTAGGTTTGGCTATGCATCTGGTTCTCTAGAAAGTAAAATTAGTTCAAAGGAACCTACCTCTCCCCACAAATGAAAGAACATGAGTGCCTCTATTCAGCTTTTGTTCTCTCCCTAGCAAGGAAGTGTTCTCCTTTTATTAACATACATAAAACTTTGTATTAAACTCTTAAAATTTCTACTTAGTCTTGAGTATGTCTCCTTCACTTTCCTGTTGTCTTGCATCTCCCTTCTAGCTAATAATAATAGCAAATATGTACCCAACAATGGATGCAGTAATCAGCAAATATAGAGACAAATTTAGAATAAAATGTAGCATCTTATTAAGATCTACAAAGGCCTTCATGGTCGTAGTTTCCCCTGCCCTAATGTCGCACCACACTTCACCTTGCTCACTTTGTTCTTGCTACACTTGGCTCCTTGCTGTGCTCCTACCTTACTAGAAATACTAATGTCTTTGGACTGTTAAACTTGTTATTACCCACCTGGAAAACCTTTCCTCTCTGTATTCATATGGCTCCCTCCTTCAGTGCTTTTAAGTCTCTTGTCAAGTGATACTTCCAAGGAGAGGGCTTTTTTATTCACTGTCTGGTCCCTTTCTATCCCTTTTATTTTATTTAATACTTTTATTATATTCAAAGAGTTCCTGTAACATATAAACATTTTTTTAAATAATGAAAAAAATAGAAATCTGCATACTGAGCTACTAAACTTAAGAAATGGAATATTGGTAAAACCACTGATGTACTTTGTTGCCCCTCTCAAATTCCGTTCCCTCCCCTCTATACGCACTCTCACCATCATCTCCAGTCAGATCTTCTGTTTGTCTCTTCTCAGTGCCATTCCCTGCTCTTCCTATGAAAACTGCACTTCCTAGGATCCTTTTTTTAAACTGTCTACCTGCTTGGTTCAGCCAGTGGGAGGCACTTGGAGGATACTGAAGGTGAGAAGAGGAGAGAAGATAGAATATTCTCTTCCCCTCTTAGTGTTACAGGGTGCCTCTCCATCAGTGGCTGAGAATGAATCCTCCAACTTTCTAGCCCTCTCTGGAAACAGCATACCTCAGGGACCCTGCATCCCCAAAGGGAATCCCCCTGTGAATTCAGCTCCTGCTGGGTGGTTCCAATTATTGGTTTCTTGTAACACCATCTCACACCTCTTCCCTTTGTCCCTCTAAGCTTGGAGATGGTAGTATCTTCCATTGCTAATCTATTGATTGCCCACCATCCCTTGTGTAAATCCTCGTTGCTCCAACATTTTTATATCTAATTCTCAATCTTAAACTTTTTTTATTGCATTATCTGGAAGGATCTGCCCCCCCCCACCGCCATAACTTAATTTTTCTTTACTGCCATTTATTTCTGTTAGTCATTATAGTCTCTTGATTTGTTTGTTAATTTTCTGACTCACCAATTAGATTTTAAGCATCATGAAAGCCAAGGCTTTGCTATTTTAATTTTTATTTCTTGCTTCCCTGGTGCTCAGAGCACTGAATAAATATTGGCTGAATGAAGGAATAATAAATGACTTCAATTAATTCTCCTCAAAGTATCTACATCCCCATTTTTATAAATGAGGTCTAAGATGCTAAAATGTTAAGTAATTTGCCAAAGCTAGTGAGTGGAGAGCCAATTCCAAAGCACAGGTTTACTGAACTGCAGAATCAGGCTTGCTAATTGTCATGCTACACAGCCTCCTTCTGTACAAACAGAATGGAGAAGCAGTTCTGATAGATGTTCATGAAAAACCTGTTGATCTTTTTCTAATAAAAAGTAACCCTAATATCTTCATCAACTCTTTCTATACTTAGCTTTCTCTCCTGACATATATTCATCATCTGGATAAAATTGGACTGATTCATATCACCTCTGACAAGCTTCTAATAAATGTTTATTGTGTCCCAGCCACTGCCACAAGGAAAACAAGCACTGTTTTCCAGAATGTGTATGTTCAAGTTCAGTTAAACCAAACTTGGTACATTTTATAACCTATCCAACATACCTCCTTGTCTCTAAACATAGACCTGTCTCCTTCCAACTCTTTGCTACATCATAACTAAATACTCCTTTACTTCAGTACTATTCATGAGATCCCTCTTTGTTTTTATTAATAATTACCTAGCATTCAAATGTATCTAGTTAGCAGAGAAACACATTATTTATATGAAAGAAAGCTGTGAGGTTTAAAGTACCACAGAGATCTTTTGAGATCCTCCAGTGTGAAATCAGAAGTGCTCAGGTTAAAGAAGAAGGCCTCTTAAAATAAATTTGGGCATGAACTGCCAAATAAATATAAGCACATTGAGTAAAATTCTTAGTATCCCTTTCTAACACACTTTCTAGAAATATATTTTCCATTTGAAAACCCCACTTAACTAGCGTGCAAAATACTTTCCTATATTCTTCTCATTTAGTTTAGAAGGAATTGGTATATATAGAAGTGAAACTCATAGGCTATCTGATAAAAATAATGTGATTTAAATAATGCAATTGGATATAGTGATTTGAGCTAGTATTTTGCACTGTGATTTTATCTATTTAGGGAAATTCTCAGCCATTAACTCTTCAAATGTGGCTTCTGTCCCATGTCTCTCTGTGATTCTGGGATACATTTATGTTCATTTTACTGTTTTTTTCTATATCTCTTATTCTCTCATCTTTATTTTCCATCTGTTTGTCTCTCCATGCTTCATTCCAGATATATATGTATATGCATGTATACATATATATAAATACACATACATACACACACACATACATGTATATGTTTCTGGCCTACCTTCAGGTTTACTAATTCTCTGTTTAGCTTTGTCTAATCTGCATTTAAACCTATTCATTGTGTTATTACTTTTTCACTTATTGCATATTTCAGTTCTACAATTTCTTTTTTATTCTTCTTAAAACACTTAAAATCATTTTTATGGTTTCCAGTTTTCTGCCAAAATTCTCAACCTTGAACATGGTCAGTATAGCTACTTAAGTCACATAATCTGTGTGGGCGTGTATAAAATAGAAAATAATGTACAGTAATAAATAGTATATATACACATATATACATTTTAGATTTAAAACTTGTATCTAACTATATATACACACACATTGTACTTTCCCATATATATATAAATTTCATTCCCTAATTTTATATATAGTTGGAATGAATATATGTATGTACATATACATATGTGTGTGTGTGTGTGTGGTTTTGTGTGTGTGTGTGTGTGTGTGTGTGTGTGTATATATATATATATATATGTTAGAGAAAGTACATTGTTTGTTGGTGGCTTTGACTTTGAAGCAAGATGATCTTGGTTTAAAATCCTGGCTGTGACACTTACTAGATGTTTGACTATGAACAAATTAGTTGGCCTTCTTTTATAGCCTCTGTTTCCTCAAATGTAAATGGAATAAAGATGTCTATCTCACAGGTTTATTGTAAGAATTAAGAATGATAATGTGCGTGATCATTATTAGAGTTTCTGACACTAAACGCACACAAATTGTGTTTCTTTTAGTAAAATACAACATGAACTGATGTAATATAAAATATCACCTGCTGTAGATAATGATACTATTTTCCCCAAAGGCAAATGATAATACAGAAAGAGAGTAGTCTTCAAAGTCAAATATACATGAACTCTACTTGGTTTCTCCAGCTACCATCTGTGTTACCTTGGGCAAGTTACTCAGCCTCTCTGTTGCTCCATTTCCTCACCTTAAAAAACATGAATTAAACAATGCAAGTCTTGTAAGGCTGATAGGAGGATTCGATGTAATATATGCATAGTTTCTGTCAAAATATCAGGCACGTAATAGGAATTTATCTTCAACAACATACTCATATTCTAATCTGTATATTCACATTTTCCCACTTTGTTAATATTTGTAATTATTAGTATGATTGATTTTGCTGGCAGCTTAGGAAAACAAATGACAAAGTTTTAAATGGTTAAATGATTCTCTTTTTTTTCCCTTTCGATAAAGTTTTGGACACTTTGCCACCCATGCGCTATCAGGAGACCATGAATACCATCCTCATGTGGATCCAGCAGTCAGAAACCAAACTCTCTGTACCTCAGGTTACTGTCACTGAATATGAGATCATGGAGCAGAGACTCAGGGAGTTACAGGTCTGTGACTATTTAAATGTCTTAAACAATACAGTACAGATCTCATCTATCAAGCAATCACATTGGTATAACCTTAATATAATACTATAATTAAAATAATCGTGACAAGTGTAATAGTTTACCAGCTGAAAAAATGAAGATTAAGAATTTAAAAGTGTAATATTTTATGCATTTGTGCCTTCTCTCCATAAGATAAAAATTCCATCTTTGAAAACAATGATACGGTCTACTTAAGAAGTATATTCTTTCCTGCTTAGTGTATATTTTCAGAAACATGGATTTTGATTATTATAGAAGTTCTGGTATTATTCCTCCCCTTTGCTTGCTGATTTAGAGGTCATCTCACATTTCCAAAATGAAAGTGGTAAAATTAATGTAGTCATAAAATTAGTTTTAATTTAAACCCTTTTTGATGTAATATTATAATTAGGTTTTGAGTTCTATTCACTGTATTTTAATAGTATTATATCAGGGAATAAAATACTAATATGGGAAATTAAAGAAATAATTTGTATGAGATTTTAGAATACTTTCCCTGCTAGTTCTGAAAAGCCTGTGTTGTATATCTAATCACATTTTATTTTGTAAGACATTAAAGTGTATTCACTCATTGTATTTAAGAGCTGAGATAATATGTCCACATTTTGAGAATTAAATTAAGAAAAAAAGTTAAAAATTTAACTTTGTTATATCAAGAGTTCTTTTTTGGGAATATTATTTCCTAAAAAAGTAATTTTAGAAGAATTTCTTCAAAGAAATCTTTATTTAAACATTTCCCAGTATATGTTGTCCTATTTAAACTATTTCCTCTACTATAATACCAAACAACCTATAACTGTTTAATCTTTTGGCCCCTTTATGTTGTTGTTTGTAATACCTGAAATAGTTCCAAAATTTACTTTGAAGAATATGTGACTTAATAAAACTATAAATGTAAGGACATAAGAGTACAAAGGTATAGCAATTAGGGGAGTGTGTTAAGTATAAAAGAAACTGTATGCAGATGAATGGAACAGTGTATTTCCATTGATAAAACAGTGATGGAGGGAAAATTATTTATAAATATTATTGAGAAGATGAATTATTAACTAACTGAAAAAAATGAAGTTAGAACCTTGTGTCAAATGTTACACCAAAACAAACTACCACATGGATTAAAAAGTCAAAAACATTTTAATCATAAATTTTGGAGAAATTTTTAATAAAACTTTAAAAACATATGGGGAAGCACAAAAATCAATGGAAGTGATCACAAACATTGTAAAAATACCAGAGCCAATTTTAAAGAAAAATGAGAAAAGGAAAACATTTGTCTGAGTAAGTCATTAATAAGGTAGTCACCAGAAAGAGACATAAATGACGATTAATCCTATAAAAAATTGTACCTCAAATTGTAAAGGATGTAGTACAAATTTACAAAATGAGATATTTTTACGTACTAAAGTGCAAAAAGAAATCTAAAAAAATAAAACAAATAAATGAGTATAACAAAACAGAAACAGACTCATATAGAGAACAAACTAGTGGTTGCCAGTGGGCAGGGGGGTGGGGGAGGGGCAAAATGGGGGTATGGGATTAAGAGGTACAAACTACTATGTGTAAAATAAGTAAGATACAAGGATATCTTGTATAGCACAAGGAATATAGCCAATGTTTTGTAATAACTTTAAATGGAGTATCATCTATTAAAACATTGACTTACTGTGTTGTACACCTGAAACTAATATATTAACTCAACTATACTTTAATTAACAAAAGAAATTGTAAGGATGTAGTACAAATTTACAAAATGAGATACTATTTTTTACATACTAAATTGCAAAAAAAAGAAACCCAAAAGATATAGTAAGTGCAGATCTGGCAGCAATGAACTACATCTCACTTATTGGTGGGAATGTAAATTGAATGTAAGTTTTGCTGAGGAAAACTTTTCAGATATAGATACATAGAGGTATACATAAATAGATCATAAACATAATTTAAAAGAGTGGAAAACTTAAAATTAATTTATACAGCTAATAATGGGAAATGGTTAAATGAACTGCAGAAGCAATTAAAATCTGTTTTTGAAAAATACTTAATGACATGGGAGAAGGCTCACAATAAATTGCTTAGCTCAAAATGTAGTTCTAGCATAGAGGGAACTTTCCTCAACATAATAAAGGCCATATATGACAAACCCACAGCCAACATCGTCCTCAGTGGTGAGAAAGTGAAACCATTTCCAGTAAGATGAGGAACAACACAAGGTTGCCCACTCTCACCACTGTTATTCAACATAGTTTTGGAGGTTTTAGCAACAGCAATCAGAGAAGAAAAAGAAATAAAAGGACTCCAAATCGAAAAAGAAGAAGTAAAGTTGTCACTGTTTGCAGGTTACATGACACTAAACACAGAGAATCCTAAAGATGCTACCAGAAAAGTACTAGAGCTAATCAATGAATTTGGTAAAGTGGCAGGATACAAATTAATGCACAGAAATCTCTTGCATTCCTATACACTAATGATGAAAAATCTGAAAGTGAAATTAAGAAAACACTCCCATTTACCATTGCAGCAAAAAGAATAAAATATCTAGGAATAAACCTGCCTAAGGAGACAAAAGACCTGTATGCAGAAAATTATAACACACTGATAAAAGAAATTAAAGATGATACATACAGATGGAGAGATACACCATGTTCTTGGATTGGAAGAATCAACATTGTGAAAATGACTCTACTACCCAAAGCAATCTACAGATTCCATGCAATCCCTATCAAACTACCACTGGCATTTTTCACAGAACTAGAACAAAAAATTTCACAATTTGTATGGAACCACAAAGACCCCGAATAGCCAAGGTAATCTTGAGAAAGAAACACGGAGCTGGAGGAATCAGTCTCCCTGACTTCAGACTATACTACAAAGCTACAGTAACCAAGAGAGTATGGTACTGGGACAGAAACAGAAATATAGATCAGTGGAACAGGATAGAAAGCCCAGAGATAAACCCATGCACGTACGGTCACCTTATCTTTGATAAAGGAGGCAAGAATATACAATGGAGAAAAGACAGCCTCTTCAGTATGTGGTGGTGGGAAAACTGGACAGCTACATGTAAAAGAATGAAATTAGAACACTTCCTAGCACCATACACAAAAATAAACTCAAAATGGATTAAAGACCTAAATGTAAGGCCAGAAACTATCAAACTCTTAGAGGAAAGCTGAGACAGGATACTCTGTGACATAAATCACAGCAGGATCCTTTTTGACCCACCTCCTAGAGAAATGGAAATAAAAACAAAAATAAACAAATGGGACCTAATGAAACTCAAAAGCTTTTGCACAGCAAAGGAAACCATAAACAAGGCGAAAAGACAACCCTCAGAATGGGAGAAAATATTTGCAAATGAAGCAACGGGCACAGGATTAATCTCCAAAATTTATAAGCAGCTCATGCAGCTCAATATCAAAAAAACAAACAACCCATTCCAAAAATGGACAGAAGACCTAAATAGACATTTCTCCAAAGAAGATATACAGATTGCCAACAAACACATGAAAGATGCTCAACATCATTAATCATTAGAGAAATGCAAATCACAGCTACAGTGAGATATCATCTCACACTGGTCAGAATGGCCATCATCAAAAAATCTGCAAACAATAAATGCTGGAGAGGGCGTGGAGAAAAGAGAACCCTCTTTCACTGTTGGAGGGAATGTAAATTGATACGGCCACTATGGAGAACAGTATGGAGGTTCCTTAAAAAAACTACAAATAAAACTATCGTACGACCCAGCAATCCCACTCTTGGGCATATACCGTGAGAAAACCGTAATTCATAAAGTGTCATGTAACAAAATGTTCATTGCAGCTCTATTTACAATAGCCTGGAGATGAAAACAACCTAAGTGTCCATCGTCGGATGAATGGATAAAGAAGATGTGGCATATATATACAATGGAATATTACTCAGCCATAAAAAGAAACGAAATTGAGTTATTTGTAGTGAGGTTGATGGACCTAGAGTCTGTCATACAGAGTGAAGTAAGTCAGAAAGAGAAAAACAAATACCGTATGCTAGCACATATATATGGAATCTAAAAAAAAAAAATGGTCATGAAGGACCTAGCGGCAAGACGGGACTAAAGATGCAGACCTAGTAGAAAATGGACTTGAGGATACGGGTAGGGGGAAGGGTAAGCTGTGACAAAGTGAGAGAGTGGCATGGACATATATACACTACCAAACGTAAAATAGATAGCTAGTGGGAAGCAGCCACATAGCACAGGGAGATCAGCTCGGTGCTTTGTGACCACCTAGAGGGGTGGGATAGGGAGGGTGGGAGGGAGGGAGACGCAAGAGGGAAGAGATATGGGAACATATGTATATGTATAACTGATTCACTTTGTTATAAAGCAGAAAGTAACACACCATTGTAAAGCAATTATACTCCAATAAAGATGTTTAAAAAACTGTAGTTCTGTGCATACTAGATATTGTGTAAATAATCGAGGGTAACAGTTTAATAAAGTAAAATAAAAATAAAGTAAAAAATAACATATCACAAAATAAACATAAGGTATGCAACCACCAAATTATGTTTGACACATAATTATGCATATGTGAGTGTAAAATATTATCACCTATTCAGGGTTTAGTTTTACGTAGGAAGAACTGGAAGTTTATGTAAAAAGTAATAGTTGTATATAATGGGTATTTTTTGTCAATTTTTTACCTTCAACCTTTTTAGTTTGTAACCAGAAAGTAACATTTAAATAAATACTGAGTAGGTGAAACCTAAAGATATGCATCGTATTATAAGGGGTGCAATAGATTATACAGTACAAATGTAAAATCAAGTTTGTAAATTCTCCCCACACTTCCCTAGAATTTCACTGTGATACTACAAAACAGAGCAGTGTCTTTTGAGAAATAAAAAAAACATTCATTAAGTGGCGTTAGTAAACCGTCCATCTGGTAACTTATTCAGAGCTTTGTTATCACATCTATCAATCTGATTTAGTTATATTTTTATCTATGAAGGTTAAAAGTTATCTTACTTAAAGGCTCAGTATAATTAAGTTAAACTCCATTAATTGAATCAAAAATGCAGTTATTAATATACAGACAAAATGTAATAACATTAGGTGTGCTAAAGCTCTTTGGTTCAGTAATATATAGCTGTGTATATATTTGGCATTGTTCAGAAGACTAGGCATAGATTTTTAAATAAAATATTATTAAATAATGTGTAAACTACTCTTATTAAAAGTAGAATTTAAATGACTATTTTATAACTGATGTTACATCATTTATTTTTAGATGTTTGGATCATGTAGCTTTCATTCTAAGTAATTTGATTTATCTGAAACTAGTCAATGAAATTGAACAATGAAACTCGTTAGTATTCATCAGTTAGTATAAATGCACTTTCTTCTTTTTAATTTTGAGGCTTTACAAAGCTCTCTACAAGAACAACAAAATGGCCTAAACTATCTCAGCACCACTGTGACAGAGATGTCAAGGAAAGCGCCCTCTAATATTAGCAGGAAATATCAGTCAGAATTTGAAGAGACTGAGGGCCGATGGAAGAAACTCTGTGCCCAGCTGGTCGAACATCGCCAAAAGCTAGAGGAGCAAATGGCTAAACTCCGAAAACTTCAGGTACTTCAAGATTTTACTTTTTATATTCATTTTTTTCTTGACTTGTTTGTCTCCTAATGATGAGTTACAAAATTTAAAGACATTTAACCTCCATAGTCCCTCAAAGTCAGTGATGAGGTCAAAAGACACAAATCTGTCTCAAAGGAGTATAGTCTGCCTATTGATTTTCAGAAAACTTTAATTAAGAGTTCTGCTTCTTAGATTTTCTTTAGAATTAGTTTTTTTTTTCATCAATATCAATAGGACTTAAACATGTTTTTAGCTCAGTAATTTTCAAAACCCATCTTTTCTTTAGTCTGGTTGTCCTCTAAATAGAGGTATCATTTAGCTTATGAATAGATAAGAAGTTATCTACCATGTAATATAGTCATATCATTTCATCAGCATATTTCACTTGTAATTTTATGTATAAATTTGACCCCATCACCTTCCACAAACCAACTTCTGCTGACTTAATTTGTTTGGATAGTGCCACCTGATCACGCAAGCATTAGTAAACCAACAATTACACTGTAGTCTAAAGTTTAAAACATGTGGTGATGCAGGTAATATCTCTCTTATGTGGTAAATTATTGTGAAGAATGTTAATGCTGGGAAGAATCTTGAAAGCATCATGGCGTGATGGAAAAGCATTGGAATAAGACGCCTTTGGATCTAAATCCCAGTCCAGCTGCTTAGTTGTTTTTTTCTTACCTTTCACAAACCAAAAGACCAAGCAGTTTTAAATCATTCTTTAAAGCACAACATCCACCTTTATGTGTCTCTACATATGAATATATGTGTACATGCATATACATGCATACACATATATACATTAAAACACATTTTTATCAGTACCACTGGCGAAAGAGGGTACAATTACTTGGTCCTTGCCATCAAGGAGCCCATGTTCTGGTGAAGGAGAAAGGTGAGTGTATTTTTTTCCTATTGCTGCTGTAATAAGTTGCTGCAAATTTAATGGCTTGAAGCAGCACACATTTATTATGTTACAGTTCTGGGGGTCAGAAGTTCAATGTCAGTCTCAGTGAGCTAAAATCAAGGTATAGGCAGGGCTGTGTCCTTTCTGGAGGCTTTAGGAGAAAATTTGTTTCCTTGTCATTTTTAGCTTTTGGAAACTACATTCCTTGGCTCATGTTTCCATCTTCTATCTTTAAAGCCAGTAGTATAACACCTTCCAATTTCTCTCTTACACTCCTGCCTCTGTCTTAATAAGGACGCTTGTGGTTATATTGTGCCCATCTGGATAACCCAGGATCATCTCCCCATCTCAAAATCCTTAGCTTAATCGCATCTGCGAATTCCTTTTTGCCATAAGAGGCACCATATTCACAGGTTCCAGTGATGGGGACCTGAACATCTTGGAGGGTCATTATTTAACCTACCACAGTAAGTAAATTAAACAGTGCAGTAAACGTTATGACAGTGGAAAGAGAAGAAAAGCAACATAATCTGGGAAAAGGGGTTATGAAATGTTCTTGGAGCATGGTTTATCTGACTACACCTTGAATAAGTAGAATTTAGGCACCTAATAAAAGAGGAAGAAAGAGTTCCTGACAAAATGGAGCAGTATGTTCAATTAACTGGAAGTAGTTCAATATTGGGGAGACAAAAGATGTATTTGGAGATTAATAAAATATATGATTGGAGAAGTGGTCTGGGGGCAGATCATGAATGGGTTGGTCACCATACTTTGGAATATGAATTATAATCTGATGGTGATGGGATTAAAAATAATGATAAGGTGGAACTGTTACTTTAAGGGGGGAAAGATAAGGTAATATCTGTGTTTTTAAAACATCACTTTGAGAAGAGGAAGGAGGAGAGAATAATATTGGCACCACTGTGGAGAATGGATTAGAGTGGAGTAAGACTGAAGCAGATACCAAAAAGAGCTAATGCAATAATCAAGGTGCCAATAATAAGATCTAAACTAGGACAGTGGTGATGTGAAGAAAAGAGCAAAACTAGGCTCAAAAGATGTCAGCCAGATAATAATGTTGAAGTTTTTAGATTTAGTCAAATGCTTTTAAAGTCATTATTATTTATCATATCGAAGAGGAAAATTTCTGAGAAGCACACATTTTCAATAGAAATTTAATTAAGAAAGGAGAAAGTAGCACATCTGGACAGCATAGTTGAATTGTAGGCAAATAAAGGAGTTTGAAAAAGCATACACTTGAAAAGTAGCCCCCAAAAAGCAGCAGGACAAACAGACATTATGTGAGAAAATAATGGGATGTACTTGGCTATTTACAAATGATAAAAGATGACATTTTCCACCTGCTCATTACTTCACCCTGGTCAGGCAAATGGGAAATGAAAAGCAAATTTTTTCTCTCCTTAAAGATGACAAAATCTTGTTCTGAAAGTTCTCAACTGGAGGGGCTATGTAAACTGTCAACTGTAGAAAACAGTTTTTGGAAGTTCAGGTTTAGGGAGGCTATAAAGACACCATTACATTGAGTTTACTGTTCATAGTTTGTTTTATGTACTTAAGGGCATATTCTTAGTATTATCATGAGTTGTTTTGTAACTTAAAATTTCTCTAGAGAGGGATATGATTTAATGTTCTCAAGAGCAACATCATAAAACCACATTTGGTAGTAATTTTTTATTTTTAACAATAGCAGACTTCATACACCAGTGCTCATACAGTAGGCCATAAAAATGCAGTCTTAGAGAAAATATTCTTTTCCTGAAGAGCTACTTAGAGACATCCTTCAAACATGGGAATTGTTCCTGGGCTTGTGTTCAAACGTATCACCGTGATGAATTGTGTTAAGATAAATCAGCACCCCAATAATGCCTTAAAATGGGTCTCTGATTTCAGAATCACATAAAAACCCTGAAGAAGTGGATGGCCGAAGTTGATGTTTTCTTGAAAGAGGAATGGCCTGCCCTTGGGGATTCAGAAATTCTTAAAAAACAGCTGAAGCAGTGCAGGGTAAGATTTTTATATGATACTTTTCATATGAAGACTTTTATATGGAAAATATTATTTAGTTATATTGATGATTCTGAACCAGGGGCAGTTTTGTCCCTCTAGGGGACATTTAGCAATGTCTGGAGGCGTTTTCATTTGTCGCAACTTGGGGTGGGGTAGATGCTACTGGCATCTAGTGGGTAGAGGCCAGGGATGCATCTAAATATCCTACAATGCACAGAACAGCACGCCACAGCAAAGAATTACCCAGCCCCAAATGACAGTAGTGCCAAGGTTGAGAAACTGGGCTAAATAAGAGAGAAATAGACAAAATATTGCCTTTTACTCAACATTCACTTTACAGTATTTTGATATAACATGCAGTTTAATTTAAAGGTAAAGAATTTTTTGAGCTATTTGTTATATCTTATTACAGGTTATCAGTCATACTATGTTTTTCTTACCACGTATGTTGCACTGTAGTATAAGACAACGTGTATTTTGAAATAATATTGATACCGTTGCCATGCAGTGGGAGGAGAACAGTCTAGCTCTTTAAAGAGCTTTCTTTGTGAATAAAAGCTAAAAAAGCAGATCCATTTTAAAAATAACCTTCACACCATCTTGCTATAAACAATTATTGCAATACCCTGTGTTTGAAAATCAAAATTCCTTCAAAAATAATAATGTATAAAACTCATCATTTTTGCACAGTTTTCGCACACGAAGTATTAAGTTTATTTACTTTAGTAACTAATATAAGTAGACTACAGATATATAATTCCCTATTTCATTCATGCCATAAAAACCACTGAACATTTTTTTGCAACTTACATTTCAGATTTTAAAGGGCAAAATTCATGTGTAGTGTCATGATTCCTAATTATATGTTTCCTACCTATGTTGCATTTCTAATAGGTTGTGATAATCTTTTCAGCTAACTTAAATTGAATTATTTCCTTAGCTTTTAGTCAGTGATATTCAGACAATTCAGCCCAGTCTAAACAGTGTCAATGAAGGTGGACAGAAAATAAAGAATGAAGCGGAGCCAGAGTTTGCTTCTAGACTGGAGACAGAGCTCAGAGAACTTAACACTCAGTGGGATCACATGTGCCGACAGGTATGTTCGGTCTCTGTGGCTTGCTTCTTTTTAATTATGATTTCTTAATGTCTCCCTTCACCATTGCCCTTTTAAAAAGTTTAGTCTCTATGTTGTTGCTTTAAAGCATGGTTAATTAAAACTAGCCTTTGTCTAGCATATAAATTATTTTCATAGTAGATATTTTAAATGGTATATTCATCTTGTTGGGGTCCTAAAATGAACTTATCGCCTGCAGCTGTCATTCTGAACAATAAGGCCCTTTTCTTAGGCATTATTTTTATTGAATCTTTTCTCCAATGCATAACTTTATACAAGTAGTTGGATCAACAAAAGATACTTTTTACTTCTATACTTGGTACAGAAATAAAATGAATGAGTAATGCATGCATATGTACAAATATGATAAGTATTTTTCACTTTTGATTGTTAAGATTGACAAGTTTGGCTTCTTCAGTACGTCCCTTTCAATAAATGGATTAAGATTGGGAAATAGTTAAGAATAGCTCAGTAGAAAACATATAAAATAACTGTACATTCACATCTGAGTTCCTCGTTTTTATATAGCAGAGTGTTTTATAGGTATTTATTTCCAATTTTAAGATTAAATTACGGAAGAGAAAATATTACATACGTAGTGTACATCAAATACTTCTTGTTCAAGAGATGAAATTTTGACCTAATGCAATGACTGCTTTTCAGTACACTAATACCTTTTTTGAAGTTAACGAGAGGTTTCATTTTACATGTATTAGAGGCAGTCAGTCTTTCGTTATTTCTTTTTTTTTTTTTTTTTTTTTATAATACACAATGTATTTATTTATTTATTTATGGCTGTGTTGGGGGTTCATTTCTGTGCATGGGCTTTCTCTAGTTGTGGCAAGTGGGGGTCACTCTTCATCGCGGTGCGCAGGCCTCTCACTATCGCGGCCTCTGTTGTTGCGGAGCACAGGCTCCAGACGCACAGGCTCAGTAATTGTGGCTCACGGGCCCAATTGCTCCATGGCATGTGGGATTTTCCCAGACCAGGGCTCGAACCCGTGTTGTCTGCATTGGCAGGCAGATTCTCAACCACTGCGCCACCAGGGAAGCCCCAGTCTTTCGTTATTTCTAAGTAACCTTTGAAAGTTGAAAAGAAATCATGCCAGAAGGCAAAAACTAAATTTGAAAAAGAAAGGAATTTGGACAAGTAAAAGTCAAGGCAGGTCACCCAGCTAATACCATCACTGACAAATGCTCAACAGTTCTATTAACTCACAGATGAGATAGCTGTGGGTCAGCTAGCTTGCATTCTTCTCCTGCAGTAAGCTGGTTCTAGAAGGGATGTTCAGGAAAAAAAAATATTACTTAGAGGATAGATTTTATCATTGATGTTTTCCTGGAAGGCCAGTATGAAAGGTATTTGTTTGTTGAATGCTTTTAATGGATGAATAGAAAGGAGAACACCAGTTTGTTTAGAGCAAGGGAGAGGACAACAGCAAAAAAATTTTTATGAGAAAATGGGCAGGAAATAAGTCATTAATTTTCTTTTAAGTCACAGTGAGGATTTACTATTCATATCAGGTATGATGGGAAGCTATTAGACCTTTAGGTATAGAAGTGGCATCATGTAAAGTGGTGGTTTAAAAGTTTGCTATATAATCCTGTTGTATGAAGAATAGACCAAAGGGGCACAAGTGGAAGCATGTAGGAATCCCAGTTATCTAGGTAGGAAATAATACTGGCAAAGCACAGCCGGGGATGTTAGTGGAGATTGAGAGACATGAAGAAATTTGAAACGTATAATCCTCTTATGACGTCATGTTTGGTTAACTGTCCAAACCTCTCCGAATAATTTTCCAAGTTCTTCCATAGAGATAGAGCTGGTTTGAACTCTTGTTGCTCTGTCTCATTACTGTTTATTGCTTTTATGTGTATTTTCCCACTATACCGTAATTAACATGAAGAGGGGCTGTGTTATTCTAGGCAAACTGGACCAAAGTGCTTGTGTGAGTCAAACTTTGTAGAAACTCTATGCTCCCTGGCCATCTTCAGCAAGCTTATCTCACTCAATGTGGTCACTTATTTTTCTTGTTTCTTCTAACCAATTAGGCAAGTTCTTCCTTGTTATATTTTTCATCAGGGCTTTCACACTCACATCCACCCTTGATCATTATTCTTATCCCAAGTACACATTCGTTTCTTGATTTTATGTTTTATCAGACCCCATTAGAAATGGCAGTGCTTGCTGAAGGAGAATGCTTGAAGAAAGTCCAGGGTGATGGGGAGGGAGGGATAAGCATATTCAGAGTTTTCTGTTTTGAGCAACAGTGTTGGCTACTGTGCCTTTAAAGAAGGAAAGACTGCGAGCTAAGGGAGGAACCAAATTGACTAGCTTAATAGAATGATCAGTACTTCTATTTTAGTCATGTTTATTTTGGAGAAGTAGACAGTCAAAATACATCTGGATTTCAAGTGGGGTACCTAAATTGAACGTATAAACTATGTACACAAAAATAAAGATAACATTTATGTAAGATAACTCCTATCTCACAATGAAAAGATTTGTCAGACCCACTTTCCCAAAATATTTGGCCAAATTGGATAAAATAAAAACTCTGATGGATGGAGAAGACTTTCTTGTGGATGGAGAGGCAAACAATGTGTAAGAGCAACAGCTCTGGGACCAGATTGCCTGGGTTTAGATCTTGCCTCCACCATAAACTACCTGTGTGATCCTGGAAGAGTTGTTTAATCTCTCTGTGCTTCAGTTTCCCAGTCTTTACAATGTGGTGATATTACTGCCTGTTTTATAAGAATTTTAAAATAATAATTAAATGAATTTGTGTTTGTAAGGTGTACAGATCAGTATCTAGCACAGAATAACCACTTGTTAAATAAAATAAATGGATATGAAATAGACATAAACCTACATATATAAAATTATAAAGCATTTATAATTTCTAAATAAATAATGTATGATTATATATTTTAATTATTAGTGGCTATAAATTTATGCTAGATAGTTATCAAGAAACACTGGATTTAGAAAGCAGGTGGATGTCATTCTGGCACCTTGCAGATCATTGTCTTTCCAAGTCAGTACCTCTTTTGGGTGCAATCATCCACAGACCCCTGGGTCACTCTGCCTCATTCCTTGAGTATTTTAACAGCTGACTCACTGTTACTCCTGTCATAATTCTTGGTGATTTCAGTATCTTCTTAGATGGTTCTTCTAGTTCCTGAGCCCTCGGTTCCTTGATAACCGCTCCAGTGATTTTTGTCTTCCACCCTGCCTCAGCCACTCACTCCCAGCTTCATAACCTAGACATCACACCCCGCAGCCTCCAGCACACACACAATACAACCACTATGGAACCTGTATGGAGATTCCTCAAATAATTAAAAATAGAGCTGCCTTATGATCCAGCAATCCCACTTCTGGGTATATTTACATAGGAAATGAAATCAGGATCTCAAAGAGATATCTGCACTCCCAAATTCATTGCAACATTATTCACAATAGCCAGATAAGGAGACAACCTAAGCTTTGGTCAGGGATAAACAGATAAAAGAAGATGTGGCGTGCGCACACACACACACACACACACACACACGATTATTATTCAGCTGTGAGAAAGAAGGAAAGCTTGCAATTTGCAACAACCTGGATGAAACTTGAGGGTATTATACTAGGTCAAATAAGTCAGAGAGAAACAAATGCTGTATGATCTCAGTTATATGTGGAATCTAAAAAATGCCAAACTCAAGAGAGTAGAATGGGGACTGCCAGGGCTTGCAGAGTGGCGGAAATGAAGAGATTCTGGTCAAGTGGTACAAACTTCTGGTTTATGATGAGGAAGTTCTTGGGATCTAATTTACAGTATGGTAACTACAGCTGACAGTTTTATATTCTGTACTTGACAGTTGCTGGGACAGTAGATCTTTAACGTTTTCACGATAAAAAGAAAAACGGTAATTATGTGTGATGATGAAGGCATTGACTAATCATATTGTGGTAATCATTTCACAATATATATGTGTACTTTAAACAGTGTTTTGTGTCAGTTGCATCTTAATAAAGGTGGGGGGAAAAGGAAGTGGAATGGGGAGGGGCAGTGTTGAATGTTAGATTTACAAATTCTAGAACAGGAAACATGAAGAACTTTCTATTTTATCAAGAGGTTGATGCAGTATAATCTGCTGAAACTGGCAGTCGATTGGTAAATTTAAGGCTAGAAGGTTGACATCACTAATGTGATAAAGGTGAGGGAGAAATTGTGATATTAACCTCAATGTTTTCACAGAAACCCTTCTAAAATACGAAACCACAAAAAAAAATTCATCTCTCTCTGATCAGTTGTAGAGCTGTGGAATGTTAAATTTGGAAAAGACCTTGGAAATCTTCTGCTCCAATTGTTAGGTTAGTTAAGAAGTGGAGATAAAGAGAAATGAAGTGATGTTTCCAGGTTCACTTAGCTTGTTAGTGACTGAGTACAGGTATCCAGATTCCAAAACTGGTGTTCTTTCCAATGCACTCATGCTGTCACCTCAAAATGAATTCCTTTTCTTTTCTTTCTTTCCTTTTAAAATAATCACTCCTGATCCCTTCTGGTTTAGTTTTATAGCATGCAATATTTTTTTTACTGCAAGTCTTTGCCTAAGTTCCGTTAGTCACTCTAATATTATTGTCACTTTGCCAACTACCTCAAAAGATTATAGCAGAGTATCTAAGTACAAATTTAACAGCTTGTTTACTTGGGCTTATTATAGGCTCATTCACTATGCAAAATAATCTTTATACCTTAACTAGTGTAATTGTTAGATACATGCTTCTAGCTGTGTCAGAATGAAACATACATTTACATTTCAATAGATGAAGCACTACATTCTCCTAGGTGAGTAAAGAAATTAGTTTTAATTTAACTACATTAGGCTTAGGGTGGTTGTAAAGTGTAAGGAAAATTAATATGATGATGGTTCTGTACATATTTAGTATTTGGTAAAGTACCATGAAAACTTCATTATACTAAAAGTATGCCTTATATATTAAGACTTTACAATTACAACTCTGTTATTTAAAAGATAGAACTCTACTTAATCCCAGAGAGAAGAATAACATCATTTGATTAGAGTTATTTTTTAATTAATTAATTAATTTATTTATTTTTGGCTGTGTTGGGTCTTCGTTGCTTCATGCGGGCTTTCGCTAGTTGCGGCGAGTGGGGGCTACTCTTCGTTGTGGTGTGCAGGCTTCTCATTGCGGTGGCTTCTCTTGTTGCGGAGCACTGGCTCTAGGTGTGTGGGCCTCAGTAGTTGTGGCACATGGGCTCAGTAGTTGTGGCTCACAGGCTGTAGAGCGCAAGCTCAATAGTTGTGGCGCACGGGCTTAGTTGCTCCGCAGCATGTGGGATCTTCCCGGACCACGGCTCGAACCTGTGTTCCCTGCATTGGCAGGCAGATTCCTAGCCACTGCACCACCAGGGAAGTCCCTAGAGTTATTTTTTAACGTAAAAGAGAAGCACTATATATAATCATTCTAATACTGAATTGAGATTTTTCCCTCAATGTGTTACAGCAGGGTACTTTATAACAGGCTATTAGCATGCACGATTTTCTCTTAGGTATTTTAAGTTTTGCTATCTTTCTGGTTAATAAGTAATAAATTCTGTTATAAAGTTAGTATTTCAGAAATGTATGAGGCTTTACAAGGCACAAGTCTCCCGTCACACATGCTCTTTTTCAACTTGTTCTTTTTAATTTAAAATTAAATATTGGATAACTTTCGCTTCAGTATAGATGTATTGGTGCTATGTGGTGTCCTATTCTGTGTGTGTACATGTGTATCCCACTATTTATTTAACTAACTCTCCATGAAAGCATATTTGGGTTTGTTTCCAATGTGTTGCTGTCTCCAAAGCTGAATTGAATAGTGTACATACAACTTTGTACACTTCGTTTTGTATGACTCATTCTTTAAAGTGGAAGAGTAGACTCAGATTTATGAACATTAAGAAATTTAATGCATTTTGCCAATTTACTGTCTAAAAGGTTGTACTATGTCAGATATTTCCCTCAACGGGTATAAAAACTTTTCTTTTCCCACATCCCTGCTCAAACTGGGCATTTTTGCTAGTTTTTTCCAGTCTCATATTTGAAAACATACTAATTTAATTTAATTTGCTGTTATTTAACTATAAATGATACTGAGCATCTTTTCACATATATATGGCCTCATTTTAATTTTATTTCTGTGAATTACATGACTATGTCTTTTATCCATTTTCTATTTTTTCTTTTTTATGAGAGTGTTCTGTAGGTATATGATTATTAAGTTCCTAGGATATTTGAACTTGTAAAACAGCATCAAAGAGCACAAAGAATTTCTACTTCTGTTGTGTGCCAATAAATTTACTCTTCCAGCTGAAACAATGTTTTTCTTTATTCTCCATTTGCAGAAATGCATTACCATACACAACAGCTGAATTATGGTCTTAAGAGAATCTGTTCATTATGCCAAGTAAATGCCTATATCTCATTTTAACACTTAGGTGAAATTAAGTGTATCCAATTGCTATGACTTACTTTCCTCCTTCATGTAAGCTTTTTACTTCTTGCTTCATCTTTTGTATCTAAGCTTTCTATTATTTACAGATTCCTCAGTAATAATATAATGGTAATGTTTTGTGACTTTCGATATTCATGCTTTATTTCTTGGTTTGTTTTATGGAAGGTCTATGCCAGAAAGGAGGCCTTAAAGGGAGGTTTGGATAAAACTGTAAGCCTTCAGAAAGATTTATCAGAGATGCATGAATGGATGACACAAGCTGAAGAAGAATACCTAGAGAGAGATTTTGAATATAAAACCCCAGATGAATTACAGACAGCAGTTGAAGAGATGAAGGTAAAAGAAACCAAATAAAACAAATTGTGATTCTGCACAGTCGGCTCTTTTCTTGGTTTAATAGTAGAGGTTGCTTTTTGATTGATTTAGCTTCAAGTTTGATATACATTGTGTAGAATGTTTAAACTTTTTATTTATTAAGTCTATGCATTGTGGTCACAACATAAATATTGACAATCACAGTTTGGAGCATTTTCCCCTTGAAATTATGTACTATTAAGAGATTGGAAACAGCTACTCACATTAGATGTTTCTAGCTGATGCAAATTCAAACTGGAAATATGTCAAAGTGTTATTGAAATGACAGTTGGAAATGTCAACAGGCTGTGTTAATTTGGTGGTTTAAAGGGTTTCTTAGAATTTGGGAGTACTAAATATTTTAGCTGATGGTCTTTAATATGGATAAAAGGACTGTGTTTACATGAACTTCTCTTGAAATGATAGGATAAAAAATACAACATTGATTTAGGACCAAGGAAACTGGTATGTAGAAAGGACTGGGAGGTGAAGCTTGGTAATTGGATCTACACAACTGCATTTCAGGGTGGCCCCGGACAACTCAGTAGTCAGTGTAATCCTCTGTTTTTTCATGTGTAAATCATCTCATTTTATAACTTGAAAGTATCAACTGAGGATTGAAACTTAAATGTAAGTAAATTGCCTAGCTTAGAGTGAGCACTCAATGATTTGCAGCTATAATGATAATTATTATCTTCATGTACTAGCAATGACACATTATTTAACCACATTAGCCTAGGTGAATTATTAATACATATTTGTTTGGTTTGAGGCCTCATGATGGAGCAGAATCATTTTGGAGCCAGACGCTTGGGTTTAAAACCTGCTTTGGCCCCTTGCCAACTGTGTAAACTTGGGCAAGTTGCATAAACCCAGTGAGCTTTCATTCCCTCATTTGTGAACTGGATATCAAAATACCTGATATTCAGAATTATTTGAAGGGTGAAACATAAAAGTCCTAATGTAGTACACAAAATAGATGCCCCAAACTAGTTAATTATTATTACCGTTATTATTATCATTGTTGCGTGGTAAGAAATTAATTATATGCACTTTATTATATATTTTATATGATTATTCAATGAATATTGTAATTAATAGTAGAATGTGCCCACATGAAAATTCAGATGCTTAAATATCAAAGATATCATATGGCTTTAGTCACATGGAAATTAAAATTAAAACATATAAGGAAGACTATATTTGGATAAACAGTAATAGTGTCTTTGAGTATTAAAAACTACAGAATCATTCTAATCTAACAATACCGTACATCATTCATTTTTCAAGAAATATTGTATACTTACTAAGTGTCAAACACCCTTCTAGACACAGAATACAGTAGTGTGCAATACATAAAAGCTACCTGACTTCTTGGAATTTTCATTCTAGTTGGGGCGGGGGGGGGTAGGCAATGAATGGAGAAATTTAAAAATTCATTTGAGATCATGATGATTTCCCAAAAAAATAAACCAGGATTGTGAAATAAATAATAACTAGAGTTCAGGTGGGAGTTGGAGGTGGTGAGATGCTGTTTTAGAAAGGGTTGATTTGTAGGGCATTTGTGAGGAATTATATTTAATCTGAGATATGAATCATAAGAAAAAGCCAACCTTAAAAATGTCTTATGGGGCACATTCCATTCAGAGGGAAGAGCTCCTGCAAAGACACTAAGGCTAATTGGTAAGAGAAAGAGGCCCACCTGCCTGAAGAGAGTAAAACAGGATAAATGACCTGAGATGATTTGGAGGGACTGAGTAGATATCTGCTAACACAGGAGCTTTGTAGGATATGGAGGGGTTTTCATTCTTAGTGAAATGAGAAAGCCATTGGAAGGACTATAATGATTTTAAGTTTGACTGTGGGGAGGTCCCCATTAAGGAAATTGTATCATTATAGAATGTGAGAGCTGGAGGGTACTTTGGAAAGAAACTAGTCTACACTTCCTCTGTGCAGATCAGAAAACGGAAATTCCCAGATAGGTCAAATAATTTACTCATAGTCACAGGCTTTATCTGTGGTAGAATCAAGAATATATTTCCCTCTATCCCTATCCCATTCTAAGCTGTTCTAAGCTATGATATGCCCTTCCATTCCATTCTGTGAAGCATGTGCCACCCCACTTGCCTTTCCTCTCATGTCTCAATTCCCTCATGGCTTTTCTCGCCATCTCTTCTAATGCTGCATAGCCACTGCTTCAGAACCCTAAGGAGATAATCAGCAGTCAGCTTGTGTTCAGCTGTTCTGGGTTTCCTGATTCCTTTGTTTGGATCTGGCCCTCTCCCCTCATTCCTTGAACACTTTGCTTATCTGGTAACCACTCAGTCAGATCCCTTTTCCTTTTCCAGTACTGGAGAGTAGACTGTCTCAATTTTTTTTAAAAAGTTATACACAATCCCTGAAATGAGTGGCCCAACCAATCAGTTCACACTGATTTGCATGTTTAAATAACAGATTTAGCTACAAAACTGGTGCATATGGGGGTAATATTGAAAAGAGGAAAAGCTCAGGCAGCTTGTGTCCACAACAGCAAAGGGATTTGGCATTTCTTGTGTTTTCTGTCTGCCAGTCAAGGTATCTCTTTCGGTCTGTTTCCCTACCTAGAGGGTAGTGATAGTAGCTTGTTCAGGCTTCCACTTGTGCTCCTGTTGAGAGCAAATTTTTCTTCATTGTCGGAAGAGACTGATAGACCTACTTCGTCATTTCTCCTTGATTTAGTCAGATAAAAAGTAGAGACTTTCTGTTTCTTTACTTTTCTCTCCTGTGTTGTACTTGAAAATGATAATGCTGCTTTTGACTTCTTTTTTCTCTGTAAACAAAACTTTTCTATTTACACAAAAGAGCCAAGGGGAGTGTTTGATTAGCAACATCTGATTCTTTTGAAGGTCTGAAGTGACTGTATGCTGAAATTTATATTAAACACTTTAAAAAGAACTCTGGAATTTCAGTTTTTGATGGTTTTCTTTCTTTCTTTTTAAACGTTTTACAATATGGTAACTAGTCTTAGTGTTTACTAGGAATTACATGCATGTATTTGCTATTATCATTCTGTGGGGGGCAGGCTAGAATAATCCCAATGGAGGGAGGATCAGAATCACCTGGAAGACTGAGGTGGAGCCTGAGATTTTTCATTTCTAAAAAGTTTCCAGGTCATGCCAAGGAATAAGTTCCAAGGTGGTTCCAAGGAAGCACATTTTGACAACCACTGGTTCGAGGTATTGGCAGTGAAAAGTGTCTGAGCTTATGATGGTTAGCTTCCTAGAAATATATGGAAAGAAAGCCACCACTTCTGATGAGGATTATGTCTAAACTATACCAGTCATTTAGTTTTCTACCTTTCCCTGCAGTGGAGAAATTGGTCATGATCTCCTTTTCTCTTACCATTCTTCTCTGAACCTTTCCCAATTTCTAAGCCTGATTGTAAAAAAGAATTTATGAACGCCTAAACATCAGGGGGAAATGTTTCTTATTCTGCATTTTTGATCGTTTCATGGGTTGTTTATAATTTTCATAAACTGCAATTTCATTCACTGGATCCACTACATCATGTTCCTTCTTCATCTCACAGAGGATTTGAGATGGGCTTAACAGAAGCTATGTGAAAGAAAAGATGTAACTCCCAGGATGACTTACTTAAACTCTCTGAACCTCAGTTCTCGGATGTGTAATATAGAGAAAACAAAACTTATTTCACAAGGTTTCGTTAAAGATCCAATGAGGTAGTACATACAACATGTCTGTCATAGCACACAGTAGCACATACTAAGTGATTAATGTTTGTCAAAGTTGTTTTTAATGCTAAAATTACAATGGCCAAAATATGGTTTGCATAGAAACAAATCCCATGCTCAGTGTGCCAAAAGACAGATTTATTTAGAATTTTGAAATAAAATTTCAATCAGTTATAATCAGTGAAGGCAGTCATTTAATAGTCAAAACAACTTGCATTTGCCATCGTATTTTATACTTTTTAAGGCATTATGGGGCTAAATCCAAAGGCATAGAGTGATTGTGCTGAAAATTAGAAAGGCATTCTATAGCTGACTTTGCCCATTTACTGCCCATATCCCCTTATTCTCACTACTATACTGCATATAGGCACAACTTCCACCTGCCAGAATCTGCATTTCTTTACCTGACAGCTTTCTGAGGCCACCGAATCCCACTTTTTCCACCTGAGTATGGCTTCACATACTAGGAAATTAACATTCCCCCAACAGGGTTCAACCAGTGATGGGAGATGGTGTGTAAATACCCCAGTGCCCTCACCCCTGAGTGGGATAAACCTGAGACCTGTATTTCCCAGAGCTTCTTGGCAGGATTAAACTCCAGTCACCAACAGCAATTGCTGGGTTAATAAGTATACCCTTCTAATCTCCATTCTCTTTCCATTCCCCATCTCCCTACCACTGTTTCCTTCACATCGTGCATAAACTACTTATGCTGGAAAGCTCGTCTCAAGGTCGGCCTTCATAGTAACCCACAGACGAATAGCAACACTCCTGTAGTTGAACAAGTTGAGTTTATTACTTTTGGTAATGAGGGAGAGTACACACCATGGGCAACCGTGGGTTATACGAGTAAGAGAGTATTCAAACCTGTTGTAGGATTTGGGTTTGTGTTAGATGATTTAAGGGAGCATTTAAGGGCTTTGCTCTGGATTTCATTTTGACACCGAGTGGGAGTAACTCTGTGATTCGGTATCTTAATACATTTTTCCTGGAAGGAGAGAAGACTAGAGAGAGGCTGAAGATATGTAATAATTGATAAAGAAGCAGCAGTGACTCATTAACAGGATGGGGAAGTGTCTGATATTTTCTGGTTTGGACATTGTTTATGTTTTTGTCTATATTCTTGCATGATTATGGAGTGGAATTTCTGTCATGATCTGCAGTGGTAACAAAGTAGCCTGTCTGATATTGATGTTTTGTGAAACAGTTTATCTTCAACACAAGAATACCAAGGCATAGCTGTACTAGGCCAGCCCCCTCATGTCAGGAATTTCTCTTCTCTTTCTCTTACGCGTTTTCAGTTACTGAACACAGCTTTCTTTTATCAAAATATGTTCCAATTATAGCATTAAGAAGACTTATTTCTGTGTTAATTATTCTTTGATTTAAATAATGATATTTGTACTGATTTCAATATTATTCATCCATCTGAGTAATTTATAAGTGATTTCAGTTCTAGACTATGAGATATTTTTGAACCTAGTTAGCATTGAAATATTTGTTTCTTGCTTATTTCACGTATGTGTGTGTGTATATATATGTGTGTGTGTGTGTGTTTGTGTATTCTCCACAAATACACATCCACATACAGACTACTTTTCAAACTATTCTGATTAAAGGTCAGTTACATTCTGATTATAAATTCTTTCCTGCAAGTTTCCAATTGTCACTGAACTCAAATTTTTTAAAAATTTTATTTAATTTATTTATTTTTGGCTGTGTTGGGTCTTCGTTGCTGCACGTGGGCTTTCTCTAGTTGCAGAGAGATGGGGGTAGTGGGGGCTACTCTTTGTTGTGGTGCGCAGGCTTCTCATTGTGGTGGCTTCTTTTGTTGCAGAGCACGGGCTCTAGGCGCGCGGGCTTCAGTAGTTGTGGTGCGCAGGCTCAGTAGTTTTGGTGCATGGGCAGCTTAGTTGCTCCATGACATGTGGGATCTTCCCAGACCAGGGCTCGAACCCATGTCCCCTCTATTCGCAGGTGGATTCTTAACCACTGCGCCACCAGGGAAGTCCCATCACTAAACTCAAGTTTATGGAAATGATTGTAGTCAGTATTGGATTTATTTTTATTAATCTCATTCTAACAGAAATGTTGCAAGGAAGAAAGAATATGATATATAGGAATGCATCTTGAAAGTAAAGTCATTGCCTTGCTATTAAGAGAGCATTGTTTATTTTTCAGAGAGCTAAAGAAGAGGCGCAGCAAAAAGAAGCAAAAGTGAAACTCCTCACTGAGTCTGTAAGCAATGTCATAGCTCAAGCTCCAGCTGCAGCACAAGAGGCCTTAAAAAAGGAACTTGACACTCTGACCACCAACTACCAGTGGCTCTGCACCAGGCTGAATGGGAAATCCAAGACTTTGGAAGTCAGTTGCTTTTCTTGATCTTTATCAATTACTATATGTCAGCTTATGGTTATATGTGAAGCACAGTGATTAAGAACACAAACTCTGGTTTAAGATTACTTAGGCTCAAATTCTTCACTCAGGCACTTACAAGTTTGCAACTGTGGGCCATTTGCTTAACTTGTATAAACCTGTTTCCTATCTATAAAATGGACATAAAAATAATACTGATTTCATAGAGTGAGAAAATTAAATAAGCTATTCTATATAAAGTACTTAGCCTAGCACTCAATAAATGTGAGCCACTCCCAGTCTGTTGTTGTTGTTATGATTATGATTATTATTATTAGGTCACAAAATCCCATGAATAAGTTTTCTCAAGATATATAGAAACTGGTCTCTCTTTTTTCATATATTTGAATGTCCATAAAGTCATGTAATTATCTTAGAAGGAAGGTATTCTGGGGAGAAAGTATATCTTATTATAATTCTCTTTAACAATTGCAGTGCCCTATAGAGTTCTTTACAAGACATATTGTCTAACTAGCCTTTTTTTGGACATTTTACATTATATTAATTTATTATCATAAGTCCTGCCTTATCTTTCCCATATGCTTTACTCCTTAGGTTATGATACTCTGAATATACTTGATAAGGAATTCAGATACCCCAAGTGATTACCATGTAATTGTATCAAAAGCAAACTGTGATTCTCCATGTGAAAATACTGTTTATTAGCAGTTCGTATCATGTCAAGGACGCCAAAACTTTACCTACTGCCAAATACTGAAGCCGCCAGATACTGCACACCAATTGGGCTTTAAATTCAGCCAACTTCTCCTGCATAAACTGAGTCATCTTTGTGAATATAGTTGATAAAGAATTCAGGTGTCCCATTATTGTTGAAGAACATGATTGTTTAGGGAGCTTTTTATATTAAGTGTTTTATGTTTAGAGGCAGATACAACTCAGACCAATAGAGTAGACCTTTAAAAAATATTAAAACTGTATCCTTCACCCTGTACTCAAGATTTCCAATATTACAGCTCCAAGTTTCTCCATTATCAATTCCAGTTCCTTCTTTATTTATCAGTCCCTGTTCATTTTTTATCCAATTCACTCCTCACACACTTGCCTAGTGCCTTCTGTATTCAAGGAACTATTATAGTTGCTGAGAATATAAAGGAAAATCTCTTCAATTGGTGCTATGTCAGTACTACAGAAAATAAAGCAAAGAATGGGAAGAGATGACCCTGAGAGTTTCAAGGAAGTCACAACTGATTCAATATCATGTTATATGAGATAAGGACTTTTTATATCTAGGGAAGTGCTTTCTGATCATATTCAAATAAAACATTTAAATATTGTTTTCTTAGGTTCCTAATTTCTTTACATCATCATCATTCTTTGCTTTCTATTATTCATGTTGTTCACTTAAAAATACGCTACTCTGGAGAAATATCTATTTGGGTCTTCTGCCCATTTTTGGATTGGGTTGTTTGTTCATGTACCACAGTGTTCATTGCAGCTCTATTTACAATAGCCAGGACGTGGAAGCAACAACCTAAGGGTCCATCGACAGATGAATGGATAAAGAAGATGTGGCACATATATACAATGGAATTTTATTCAGCCATAAAAGAAAGGAAATTGAGTTACTTGTAGTGAGGTGGATGGACCTAGAGTCTGTCATGCAGAGTAAAGTAAGTCAGAAAGAGAAAGACAAATACCATATGCTAACACATATATATGGAATCTAAAAAAAAAAAAAAATGGTTCTGAAGAACCTAGGGGCAGGATAGGAATAAAGGCACAGACTTAGAGAATGGACTTGACACGGGGAGGAGGAAGGATAAGCTGGGACGAAGTGAGAGAGTGTCATGGACATATACACACTACCAAACGTAAGGTAGATAGCTAGTGGGAAGCAGCCGCATAGCACAGGGAGATCAGCTTGGTGCTTTGTGACCACCTAGAGGGGTGGGATAGGGAGGGTGGGAGGGAGGGAGACGTAAGAGGGAAAAGGTATGGGAACATAATGTATATGTATAACTGATTCACTTTGTTATAAAGCAGAAACTAACACACCATTTTAAAGCAATTATACTCCAATAAAGATGTTAAAAAAAATATGCTACTCCTCCAGAAATCTATTTTGGGGCATGTTTTCCAAAATTAATTAATTTTCATATTAATAACAAAATTTTCAAGATTTTTTATGAATTATCGTTCCATTTCTCATCTGTAATGACACTTCTAAACTTTCCTCTTCATGTTAAAGTTATCAAGTTATTTAGTCTCTCTTTATTCCTTCTCCACTGGTTTGGAATATATATGCTGTTTATTTTAATGGAACTCTTAATTACCTTAAATACTATCTTGCATACCTTAATCCACAAAGTCCACCAATAATAAATATTTCTACACACCTAACAATGATATAGCAGAACCACTAGAATCATTTAACTCTGAATTTATTTCCCATCTTCCATATTGTTGTTGCACCCTATTTCTTATCCCCCTAAATTAGTGCTATTGCCACTGTGTTGTTGAAATTATTATTATTAATATTTATTTAGATTTGCCATCACTATTTTACCAACTTCAGTGATGATTTTTGCTTTTCCGTACCCTTCTTTTGCTTCTGCTCTTTCATTGAGTGTGAATAGCAAGTGCTCTCAGACTTTGTATGACTGAAAATGCCTTTTTTTTTTCGCTCTCATTGTTGAGGAATGGCCTAGCTGAGCATATAATTATGCTAGGGGAGTTATTTTCTTTTACAACACTGAAAAATGTTATTCTATTTTCTTCTGCAATTTCTTGCTGTCAAGAAGTCTGCTGCCAAATTATCGTTTCTTTATAATTTTCTCAGGTACATTTCCATTTTCTCTTTGTCTTTTTTCAGTCTATTTATCTATGTGTAATTTGCTTTCATTTGTACTTTGTCACCTGGTGTATTAATAAGAACAGAAAGATTCTTTCTTTTTTTGGTGGTCTCCAGAAAACCTTTTTGGTGGTTTTCTTTCTCCTAATCTCTCCATTCCTTCTTAGGGGAACCTTTATTAGATCTATGAAGAATCTCCCCATCCTGTATTCAGATTCTTGGCTTCTCTTTAATATTTTCTCTTTTTCTATCTCTGTCTTTTGGATTCTGGGTAATTTTCTAAATCCGTCTTCCAGTTCTCAAGTTTTCTCTTCACCCGCCTAGTGCATAATTTATTCTTTGACATATAAATACATTCATCTCTGCATTCACATCTATCTGTATGTGTGTGTGTTTGTATTTTTTCAAAGCCTGTATTTTCCATTTCTCAATGTTTTACTTAGTTGTTTTGCAAATTTGTCTCTTTTGCATAATCTTCTGCTTTTGTGTAATTCCGTTTTTTCCTTTAAACAGTTTAAACTTAGGTAATATAGTTGGTTGAGAAATCTCAACTTAATGAGTAATAAGCATGAAACAGTTTTGGTTTTCCAGTAACTAAAACCAACCAGGTCAAACTCCATTTTCTGCCTATAGTTGGCTTTTTAATCAGTATTTCAGTCTGATCCTCTAAGTTTTCATTTACTTTTAGTTATTAAAAGTCTCATATAAATTTTTTGTTTTTATTTTTTTAATTTTATTTTTGGCTGCGTACGGTATTTGTTTTTCTCTTTTTGGCTGCGTTTGGTCTTCGTTGCTGTGCTCGGGCTTTCTTTAGTTGCAGCGAGTGGGGGCTACTCTTCGTTGCAGTGCACGGGTTTCTCATTGCGGTGGCTTCTCTTGTTGCGGAGCATGGGCTCTAGGCATGCAGGCTCAGTAGTTGTGACTCGCAGGCTCTAGAGTGCAGGCTCAGTAGTTGTGGTGCACGGGCTTCATTGCTCCGTGGCCTGTGGGATCTTCCTGGACCAGGGCTCGAACCCGTCTCTCCTGCATTGGCAGGCGGATTCTTAACCACTGTGCCACCAGGGAAGCCCTAAAAGTCTCATATAGATTTTGATCTCATACTGTATTAAAATCTTCCACCAGCTTAATCTTGTGGGTTCAGTAATTTATACAGATGTGGGAGTGAGAAGAAAAGATCTTACAGTCCTCTCCTCTCAATTTCTGGATAGTAATCTTCTAATTTTAGTATATGGGAGGATAAGGAAGGAAAAATACTCTTCATCTGATGTTCTTTCTTTGGCTGGCTGCAGTTGCTATTAACTTTTTTGTTAATACCCACACACATCTGTGATGATGAGTCTGTTATCGCCAGACTCTATAGGTTATCACTGCTGATCTGGCTTGTTCTCTATAGGTTTGTTGTGGTCTGATGGAGAGCCCAGTTGGCCTTGTTCACATGGACTTTGAACCCTAGAAAAGATTTCCTAAGCATACATGATAACCTTGGAGTATTCAACAAGAATTTCAGGCTGACTCTTGCCAATAGCCTTATACCACATTGAAAATTAAACCTTTTTGTCTTACCCACTATATCTCAAATCAGCCTGTGGGCACTGGCAGATCCCATATTACGTAACTCTTAGGAATGAGAAACGTGAAATAGTTGTCCTTGATTCCTCTTTGGCCATACCAGCATCTCAGTAGGGAATGCATGTCAACCATTCCTTTCTGAATATACCCACCCACTTGAAGAGCATTGCTCTTTTAGATCCTGTAAAGAAAAGGGACCAAGGGACCAGATGAGTTTCCCCTAAACACCCTCATAAAAAGGTAAGAAAAAAGGATTGCCTAACTTTTCAAATTCTCCTCTCTTCATGTTCCCCCAGTGCCCTCCCCATTAGCCATCTCTCTTTAGATGAGGGCTTGTAGAAACATCTAGCAGAAGTTTTAGCAACATGGACTGTAGGGAACTTAGCCATTTTATTTCTTAAGTATGAATTCTGGTTGTTAGTCTCAAGAAAAGTAGATCCTACTGGCAACTTTTATCACCAGGCTCAACTTATTTATTATAAAATTTTTAAAACAATGTTCTGTTATCTCTGATCACAATGTGTGGATTCTACCATTTGTAACAACTGTTGACTCCCTCTAATGGTAG